ATATATATATATATATATATATATATATATATATATATTTACTAATGCACTAAAGTTCAAAAGTAAATAATTGATGTTATTTGATGGTTCAAGCTACCTCACAGAAGTGCTCTGTTTGTTAGCAGAGTTGTTGAATGTTAAAGTAAGATGAATTAAATAAAAAATAAGAAAAATCCTGGATCTGTTTGTTCACTCTTCTTGATTCTTTCTTGATTTATGTATTATAGAAGTATCGAACTGGGTCTTGGTATCGGTAGATACTCAAAATCAAATTACTGGGACTCAAGGGCAAAAAAACATGGACAATTAGGGAGATCCCTAATTTTAGGAACTCTATTAAAATTATCTTTTTATTCATTAATTCATTAATTTTTCTTTTTACTTAGTCCTTTATTTATAAGGGATCGCCACAGCAGAATGAACCACCAAAATTACCTTTTCTTCCTAATTAAATTTAAACATGCAAGAACGTGTCTATATTTATTATGAAGACTATTTTATTGTTATCATTATTGTTTTATTGTTAATAAGCATTTTTTACTGTCCAATAGTAATAGGCCTCTATTTGGGTCATTATTTCTTTAAGTTACTTTTTTTATGTTGAGCCAAATGTCATGGCATTTGTTGTTGTACAATAAATGTTAGCATTTTACTGATTTAATTTTACTTTTACAAATTTAGTTTTACATTATTTTTATTTATTATCACAGATTTCTTTTGGGTATTTAATTTATTTTTTTCATTTAGAATTCAATTTTTGTATCTTTTTTACTATTTTATTAACGTCTACCCCCAACCCAACCCTAAAGCCAACTGATACAGTAGCATAAAAACAGAAGATGTACGGAGTATTATTTATGCTATCTATTAAATTACCCAATAAATTGTATTTTTTAACACACACCCTAACCCCCACAGCACTGTAAAAATATTTATTATTGTTATACAGTGTCATAAAAAAAATGCTGATATATTAATGTGCATATCGCACTTCTGACCGGCCACGTATCCAATCTAGACTTTACCAGGCTTGATGGTGGACAGTCTAAACCAGATTTGAATTGAAGCTTGAAAAAGAGTGAATAGTATTTAAGTTTACAAAAAGTAAACCGTTACATTGGAAGTATGTGGTTTTCCCTATGGAATCCTTATGGAAATGGTGGAATCCTTATGGAAATGGTGGAATCCCTATGGAAATGGTGACGAACTGGAAAGAATAGATTGCCATTACATTTATTTCTGTATAAATAACACCAAACATTTGTTTTGATGGAGTGCCGTAAAGACGCTTTACAGTAGTATGTTTGATTGATTTTTCAATATTTGCCAAATTCCAGTGAAATCCATGATGTAAAGGTTTCATATATTTATAATTTGCATTTTCATCCCAGAAATCATAGTGCCCTCCATTTACGATACGCATAAATACACTTTCAAATAGTGAATGCTTAATGACAAGACAAAAAAATGAGATTCCCACTTTTAATATTGTGTAATAATAAAAAATAAGCACCTTAATGATGGGCTGTCCTTCAGGATACGAGTGGAGCTCTTCCATGGGGTGCTGCTGGCCACTTTGCAGCTCTAAAGGAACAAAACATTCTTCAGTCAATCGTGAACAACTGCTTATCTATCATACATTTTAGTGACAGCTAATAGTGTGCGTTGAGTTTGATCTTGAGTGGATGGACGGGACTTGCTCCTGTTGCTCCCCCGTTTCCATGGCAACAAGAGCTTGTCTTGACAACACATCCCATGGGGGATCCCCGATGTTCGTGAGCACGTTTTTTTGTCACATTGAGGACAGCTAATCTCAAACCTATGGAGCGGCACGTTCTCTACTAACAGGTATCGGCTGACAATGCTTGACCTTTTACAATGTCACACATCGTGCATGTTTTCCCCCTCCCTCTATGACCCACCTCCCTTTCATCACACTGAAACTCCATCCATCGCACATATGCATTATACATCAGTTTTGACCCTGGCATTTCACACGCTTACAGCTGCAGAGCCTTTGCCGTTCCAACACCCATAGGACTACCAGAAACAAACAGTGCCTTCAACTCCTGGGACTTCATTTGGTGGCATTTCCTCTGAGGACACCTTGAGGGTGAAACGCCACCTTCTACTGTAGAGTTCATTTGTAAATAATGTGACTCTACATTTGTGTGCGCAGATTGAACTGTCCTGCAGGGTTACGATTTATAATATACACGCCTTATTCTGAGCTAATCACCAAATGAACATGATATACAGATGGAAAAAGAAATTTATTCTGTTATTAATAGTCATTAGGCTAAGCAATTATGTAGAAAAATAGACCTTACAATTAGAAAAACTGAAATACACGTGCATGGATTAGCCTTGATTATTTTTAATCACAACAAATAAGAGCTGCAACTGATGATTATTTTAATAATCGATTAATCAGTCTTTTTTTTTTCTTTTGATTAATCGATGAATCGGATAGAAAACTAAGAAAAGCATTAATTTTCAACACTTTATTCACAAACAGAACTAATCTTTAGAAAGTGCAAACATGTTGCTCCTTAAACACCCCTGAGCTGTTATAATAATAATAAAATAAAAACCTTAACTTAGTAGTTTTGTCCTGTTTTTAATCCAAATATCTAAAAAAACTTTAATCAAGATACATACAAGACATATAAAATAGCATAATTATGTCTTGTTTTCTAAAAAACCACCCAAAATTAAGTGATTGTTTGCTTAAAACAAGCAAAAATCTTTGCCAATGGAGCAAGAAAAATAGTCTAATGAGATATAATCTCAAACAGAAGCTTTAAAGAGCACCTAATTTTCATTCATTCATTTTCTTTTCAGATTTTGTCCCTTTAATAATCAAGGGTCACCACAGCGGAATGAACCGCCAACTTATCCAACATGTTTTGCACAGCCGATGCCCTTCCAGCTGCAACCTAACATCGGAAAACCCCCATACACACTCTTTCATCACTTAATTTTCTCATCCCATTTTCTTGTCTAGTAATCTCGTTTTTTAAATATTTGCAGTGAAAACGAGACAAAATTTCTAATTAAGAAAAGTTTTTTTGCAGTGTAGCTACTGTATACATCACATGCTAGCTCATCATGTCATCAACTAACTGATGTTCCAACTCACAAAAACGTGTATGTAAGAGTATTTTGTAGTTTAAAAGACGGTATAAATGATATTGATCGTGATCTATAGCGAGAAATGGGCGTTGCCATGTTTACTTGTGGCCGTATGCCTCATTCATAAAAACAGAACATGCAGGATTCAGCGCGTAAATACATCAGTTACTCCCAAAATACAGGCAAACATCCCCACGTCGCGTAACACAACGAACTGACTATAAAATTTGTTGCCAACTCTTTTAGTTATCGATTTTATTGATTCAATCGATTCATTGTTGCAGCCCTAGAAAAAATTAAAACATTTGTTTATCTGGTGGTTGGGGGAGGTGCTCTAAATGACAATATATTTACTTGAAATATTTATAATAATAATTTCTTACATTTATTTAGCACTTTTATGGACACTCAAAGCACTTTACACATTGGGGGAATCTCCTCATCTAACACCAATGCGCAGCATCAATCTGGATAACACAACGGAAGCCATATCATGCCAGACTGCACACCACACACCAGCTGATTGCTGGAGAAGAGACAGAGTGATGAAGCCAATTATGATATAGGGATGGTTAGGAGGCCATGATGGACAGAGGCCAGTGGCCAAATTTGGCCAGGATGCCGGGGTTAACCCCTACTCTTTTCCAAGGACATCCTGGGCTTTTTAATGACCAAAGAGAGTCAGGACCTCGGTTAAACGTGTCATCTGAAAGACGGATATCTGATACAGTGTTGTCAGGCCTTAAAACGAATATATCCAGACATTTTATTCAAACCAAAACCTAAATAAACTTAGACCATAAAGCCAGAGAAAATGAAAATTGTATGTAATGTATGTATACAGTTTAAGTCAGAATTATTAGCCCCCCTTTAATTTTTTTTCTTTTTAAAGTATTTCCTAAATTATGTTTAACAGATTCAGGAAATTTTCACAGTATGTCTGATAATATTTTTTCTTCTGAAAAAATTTGTATTTGTTTTATTTTGGCTAGAATAAATCCATTTTACTTAAAAAAAAAACATTAAGGACAAAATCATTAGCCCTTTTTTTCTCGATAGTCTACAGAACAAACCATCTTTATACAATAACTTGCCTAATTACCCTAACCTGCCTTGTTAACCTAATTAACCTAGTTAAGCCTTTAAATGTCACATTAAACTGTATAGAAGTATAACTAATGTATAATTGAGACTTCAACTGTAAATACACACACACAGGTGCATGCTTGCAAACACATGCATAAATGTTTTAAATTCATTTTATCTATGGAGATCTAATGTGAAAGGAGGAACGAGACTGAAATACATTGCTCCCATTATCGACTGTAAATATTAGTAAATAACAGCCTGCTGGTTGCCGTGATTGACCAATCAGAATCAAGAATTACAGAGAACCATGTAATACTTAATCATGCAATATTGCATACTATTCAATGCATTAATATTAGTAATGCATAAAACAATGCATTAGTATTTCAGCAGCAACACGTTGTTTCTGCAGAGCAAACTATGCATCATAATACATAAAGCCCACTTATAATAAAATCATAGCTAGATAGACACAGTATACACAAATATAGTATACACATATATTTTCCACATTATATTTCACGTATTATGTAAACACTCTCCATGCTGGAGACGTGCAGACAGGTGGATGAAAAGATATGAGTGAAAATCAACAGTCATCACTCAACAGGTAGCAGACGGACAAAAACAAGACAAACTCAGAAACAATCAGCAAGAGACTGACCTTGGTGACCTTTGCAGAGGCAGGAGCCCATGTTCAGCAGGCTGGCATTTATCTGTTCACCATGCTGACTGCCAGAGGGGCGACGAGGGGAAATGACCAACAACAGACTGAGAAGAAGAAGAAGGGGATCTGAAACAAGCAGAGAAAGCCAACTGGAGGACAGTGCTGGAGAAATGACAGGAGGAATAAAGACTGGTCCAGGAGGAGGAAAGCGGGGAGCTGGTGTCCATCCGGTACAGTGTTTCACAAGTGGGGATGGAAGTGAGGAGAGAGAGAGAGAGAGAGAGAGAGAAGTGGGGAAAACAGCACACACACACAGACTGACTGTGAGCTCTCTCAGTCCCTCCTCTCCTCTCTCTCTCTTCTCCTCCCCCTTCTGCTCTCATTTTCGCTCTCAGACCCAACTTTCACACCATCTGCATACTGAAATTACTAGCTTTTACTGAGGTTACATTAGTGATGCATTGATATGAAAATTCTGGCCCATAGCTATAAGTTGATAATTATTTTCATATTATGGCTGGTAATTGGTAAATGAGTGATATTGTAATTATAAAGCATTTCTATTTTGGCCAAATACACTTACATGTAATCATGTGGCAGACGCTTTCATCCATATACTGACAGAGATGAATGCATTCTGCTGGCTAAAAATGAATATAAACAAGTCTGAAAGCTTTTTGTTGCAGAAAAAAATGACATTTTGATTTTATATTTAGAAGAAACGTCATCAGTAGTTTACAGGATAACACTAAACAAACAAAAACTTTTGAAAATGTGTAGAAATTTAAGGTGATTTTAAGACATAGCTGTACTTAACAATATACAATATAGAATAGTGTTATTCTGGGTGGTACGGTGGCTCAGTGGTTAGCACTGTCATCTCATAGCAAGAAGGTCACTGGTTAGAGTCCAGGCTGGACCAGGTGAAATTTCTGAGTGGAGTTTGCATGATCTCCCCATGTTCATGTGGATTTGCTCCAGGTGCTCCGGTTTCACCCACAGTCCAAAGACATGTGCTTTAGGTAAATTGGGTAAAAACAAAATTGCTCGTAGGGTGTGTGTGTGTGTGTGTGTGTGTGTGTGTGTGTGTGAATGTGACAGTGTATACAGTAGGAGTTTCCCAGTACTGGGTTGCAGCTGAAAGGCCATCGGCTGTGTAAAACATATGGCAGAATAGTTGGTGGTTCATTCCACTGTGGTGACCCCTGATAAATAAATTTAAAAAAACTGAGCCGAATGACAATTAATTAATTATTTAATAAATAGTGTTATTGTTAGAAATTAGGGCCGTGCGATTTGAGAAAAAATATATTTTTTCCATTTTTTTGACAGATATTGAGATTTCGATTTGATTTTGCGATTTAATTTTGTAGTCAAGCTTCAGCATAATATTCTGTATCAGCTTCTTACTGCTAAAATGAAGTGAGTGTTAGTTAAAAAAGGAATTGAAAAGATATTACCTTACTTAAACATTTACTCCATAATATTATTTTTTCTCTATAATATTTATTTTAAAATATTCACTCATTTTTCTCTAGAGCAAACAGTAAGCACAAATAAAACAACCTTACCTTTCTGTGAACAAGTTAAACTCAAATTAGGGGGATAGTGTTGCTTATTATAAAAACAAATAATAATTAATATAAAAATACAGAAAACTCAGCAAAGTAACATGGCTGAAACAACTCTGAAA